AATTCTAGTAGAAAACGTTCTTTTCTAGAAAGAATTTGAGTGCGATTTCGAGTCGATCGGTCGGCGAAACTATGCTGTCGGCAGTTTCTCTATCTTAGATTCGGAAGGAGGATCATCGGAAGAATTGTACGTCGAAGTGGGATCGATGTGATCGATTCCTGTACGGGCTGTCCCATAACCGGAAATCGCACACGCCGTCGGCGCGGGAGGAAATCCGAGCGGACCGATGATTTCATTAGCCCGGTCCTCGCTCGAGAGGAGGTTGGACGTTGTTGAGAACGAAGGCCCATGACCGTCCCCCGCGATGACTATCGTTGCTAAACGATCCCTCGGCCAGGTACACGGTGTTTTACCCTCCTCCTCGTGCCATGCTCTCCTATCCTTCCTAGCCTCGATCGAGGAGGGATCCAAGATCGATTCGAAGCGAGGACGATCTCGTTTCCCGTTTCTGTGATCTCAAGTTAACTGGGAATTTTCCAAGATCGATTTCTTCCATCCCTTTTCCACGATCGTTCGCCTGCTATGTCGGGGATAATCGTCGTGGATTATTACTCGCCCGTCCGACCGATTTTCGACAATCACCGAAGAGGAGGAAGAGGCAATTGCTGTTGGAAGATGTGAACGAGGCAAAGGCCGCCAAATGGACAGGTTTTTCCGATGGAAAAGCCACAACAAGGCGCAGGAGGACGTGAGTATTGCGCCAACCATCCGATCGGCCGGGTCGCGGCCCTTGTTGCCCCGAGCCGAGAACAATAACGCGCCGGGATAAAGGGATACGCGGGAGAGGAAACGAATAGAATGGGAGACGAAATTATGCGTGTATTAGTAGGAGAGAAGTCGGGTTAAGTCGAGCTCTCTCAGGTGGAACGGGTTCCTAGAAATTGTAACTCGATTTCCTCTCTATAGGCTCTCCGCGAACGCGTGCACGATTATATACTTCCCTAACCGGTTTCCGCGTTTAAAACGCCAACGTTACGTGTAACGCGTGACCATCTCGCGGGAACATGGCCTCAATGAGCGAGACATTTTCTCCCTATATTCTCCCTATTCCTATCTTCCCAACAGAGTTTTTTGGAACCTCGCAGCGAATCGATCATTTTAATTACTTTCCCCACTTTTTTTACAATTTGTCAACTTGAAAAGTTTTCAAAAGGATTCGTTCGAGTTATTTTAGTATACGATGTTACAAGAAGTTTACACACTTTGTTCAAATTCGTGATTAAAAAATATCTTTCGTATATTTTTAACCTAATCGCCTCTCGAAGTACTCGACGCTTGTATTGTCGATGATTCGTGGAAACGACGAATTTTGGCACTGAGACGTTCCAATCGGAGGAGAAAGGCCGATTCTTCGGCAATTCTTCCGAGGACGGAGACAAATCACGTATCTTTCTCGCGCGAGAGAAGAAGCCAATCTCTTCGTATCCGGAGCCAAGAAGAGGATTAAACGAACTCGTGCTACTTTTTTCCCCCTCTTTGTAGCCGAATTCGAGCGACAATTCGAGTTTCCCCGAAACGTGACTCCTATTTATCCTCGTTCCAACCCCTTAATCCGGCCTAAAAAAAAATCGGGCGAATAAACTCGGAATTTCTCCATCTTTCACGCGATCAAGATTTAGGATTAGGAGAGAATCCCCTTTTTCTTTCTCATAAGCCATAAGATGGAAATGGTCCAAGTCGCGTTTAATTTGTTGCCACTATTTTCTTCTCTCTCCACCAATTTTACGATCTCTCCACAATTCATCCTCTGGGAGGAGGGACACGCTTTCTTACTCGATGGGCCGAAATATCGCGCGTCGCGCATTGTTTGCGTGCATCTCGATTAAGCGTGCTTATACATCGAGCAGCTATTCACATTCTCATTCGAATGGAAAATTTTTGTTACACGTATCTTTAGGGAGTCGACAGGAGAAAAAAAAAAAGGAAGAAGAATTCTTGCCACTATCTTGGCAACGCGAGTTTACGCAAAGTATACCCTCCAAACTTTTTTAAACCTTCTTCCCGGCCATTTTTTCGCGCTGTTTCCCTAATGTCTCCCTCTCAAGACCGCTCCAACGTGAAAAGTTTCTCGCTCGAAAGAGAGAGAAAGAGACAACTAATCTCGGATGGTTATTGCTTTCGGTTAAATCGAAAAGTTCGAAGCGAGTTTTTATCGCTTGGCGATAAAGAGGGGAATAAATTGGCGGTCTTTCTTCTCCTCTCTCCTTTGGGTTTTTCGCGGGGAAAAAGCGCGAGTCCTCGAGAGGGCAGCGTGAAAGGGGCGGAGAGCGTAGTAGTAGTCGGCTCGAGTCGAGAGTAAACCCGCTCTTTGCACTCGGGTAAACCGACACTCGGCTAGTGCGAGCTTTTCTGCTCTTTTCACTCGGCCGTTCCGCCGCCCGGAAGAGAGCCCGTGGCCATGAAAAATGTAAGGGCGAGCGCGCACAAATTATTTCATCATCGGTGGAGAACACGTCTCGAGGGAGTTTTTCCCTGCCTACCCTCTCGAGAACGCTTCCAGCGTCTTCCTCCACTCCGTCACCGTTTATGCGGTTTCGTATCTCGTCGCCAACGCGCGTCCCCGTTGGCGAAATTTTCACGAAATCAGAAAAGAAAAAAAATCGTCGGTTTTGACCCAGTTCGATACGTGCATCCTACTCGAGGAATAAATCGATCGTATCGGCTACGATATCGGCCCTCGAAATCGGTATAAATTAAACTCACCGACGTTTCGACCGTACGTATCCTCCTCCCGACTCGGAGAAACTCGATTCCTCCGAGGATAAGATCTGAGTCGAGTCGAATCCCTCCCCTCCCGCTTCCTCACTCCCACGCGGCCGTTTCGAGGATCGTTGGCGGATCGATTAACTCCTCAACGAGCGGAACAAGCGTAGAAATTTGTTGGCCTATCGGCGATCTGGCCGCGTGAACTTCAATAACATCCGCTAAATATCCGTGACAATGGTCCGGGGCGCGCGAGATACGAGCTACGTTATAACCGTGGACGAGTTTCGCGTTACAGGAAGACTCGGGTTATCCGGTCGGATCTAATTGTTGTGCCTGTTGGCCGAATGGTGGTTACCGGGTCGTTCACCACATTCACACCCACGCTTGGCTCGTCGACTCGTCGTCGACGGGAGAAGCCATCGATGTAACGCGCCTCCCTCCCTCCCTCTCCGTACTTAAGCTCGTGCGATTTATCGGGGCTTGATGCACTTGGGTGAACTCGAAAATGAACAATTTTTCTTCGACCTGTGAAACGCAACAGCTTTTTCCGCGTTTTATCGCCACTTTACACTCCTCCCTTTACAGGGAATATTTCATTTTACACTTTTGCGCTTATCTTCTTTCTTAAATTTCTTACACGAGTATTCGAAGCGAGGATATCGAACGTTGCTGTTCGGCTTCCGCCGGATTAAAAATTAATCGATAAAGTTGAAATCCGCGAAGATTTCGAGAAAAGCTTTAAAACCATCGGTTCGTTGCCTGGGTAAATAATCGAGAGAGAGAGAGAGAGAGAGAGAGAGAAAAGAAAGAAAAAACTACGCATCATCGACCTGCCTCGAATCCCCTGGTGCGAAAAAAAATCTCTTTCACGTATCGTTATCGCTCGGTAAAGCCGTCACGAAGCATTGGACGAGCAACGCCGCACACGCCACCATTTCACCCCATCAGTTTGCAACTTACCCGCCTCGACCATCGAAGCCAGCCATCGAAGAATCGCCGATACACACACACACACATACACGGGTCCCGCGTGAGATCCCGTGCGCCTGCCCTCCGGTCACGTGGTTGGACAGGGGCGAGGGACGGAGAGGAGGCGATCTATCAGGCGTAGCGAAACGTGTACACACGGAGTATACACAACACGGCTGTGCTCAGTTTTCTCCTATCCGTTAGAACGTTTCGCCTCGTGTTCCTCCTCGCTCTGTGTATACATATATATATTTACACGCGTGTATATAGACGTGTGTGTACAGGTTGGTCGAAGCCGAAGGCATTGTGTGTCCACCGTGTGGAGCTGTTGCTTGATTAACCGCCGTGGAACGGTTACATGCACACACATACACGTACACACGACCGAGCGACCGACTCGGTTCTCGCATTATTTACGGCTAATGGTTGAAAACGCGGAAGTCCGCTGGCTGTGCGCCACCGCCAAAGAGAGGAAGGAGAAGAAGAAGAAGAAGATTTTAAACTATTTTCCACGCCGCGATAGAATCCCGATATCAGCTCGATTCGATAGAAATTATTAAAGATTGCAACATTTTGACAAGGTGCGATTATTCCGTTACGACTTTTTTTCTTCGTATTCCCTCGATTATGAAAACGTGCATTATTTTCGAAATGAAGAGCACCGTTGTAACGGAAGCAAACTTGCTCTCTGCCCAAACACGTGCCTTTAAGAGGCAAGTTTCGCCACCTCACGACACGCGGGGAGCAGGAACGTTATCATTGCATTCTGCGAAACGAGAACAACCTTCCACTTCACCTACGATTTCCCATTCCAAACAAAATCCTTTCTCGAAGTGGCTGGCCCGTCTTGAAATTTCAGAGAAGCTTGGTGGAATTGATCGATCGAAGGGCAGGAGGGGGGGGAGAAGGCATCATCGTAGGAAATTGAGTGAGCCACACCACGGTTTCGCGCAAATCGCATTTCCAGCCGAGTCTGGCCGTAAAAGGATCTCGAGCGGATTACCGGGTTGCGGCGAGAAATATCGGCGGTTCGTGCGAGAAACGACGAATTCAGCTCGCGTCCTCGCCTCTGGTTCAGTTGCAAGTGGTGGGGAGTTGGTAGTGTTTCCTTCGTGGAACGTGCTCGATTATCGACGCCCCGGTAAATGATTTATTTCTGTACCGGAAACAGCTGAGAACTGGCCGAGAGGAAGGAAAAGAAGGAAAAAATTCGTATTTGTAATCTCGCACGCGTCGAGAATAAATCCGAATTATCCGAGCCACTTCGAAGCGCAAATAAAGATCGATTCACCCGCTAACGTCACGATGAATCGATGTTGTTCCAGGGTCTGGACAATGTGAGCTCAGCGACCCTCAGGCCTTTCAACTCGGACATCAACACGCCGAGGATCGACAGCTATAGGTTCTCCATGGCGAATCTGGAAGGTGAGCTATCTTTTTTCATAAGCGTTGATAGACACACTGGTTGATAGACACGACGTCTATCCGTGCAATTTCCGTATCCGTGACTTTATCCGTTCTTCCTAAGAAAAAAAAAAAAAAAGAAAAAAGAAATCAAAGTTCTTTCCCCTCTTTTTGTTCACCCTCGTGAAAGTTGCAGCCGCGCCTATATCCGATTCGCGTCCCCCGTATGTAGGACAGTTTTTCCAACGTACTTCACCCTCTTCCATTTTGTGCTTCGTGAATAAACGAACACGGGCAGCGTGGACAAAAAGGGGCGTTTCATCCCCGCGAGATTGTGGCGCGTTTTTCCTCGGGGACGCGGACGCGGCGAAACGAGGGAAACGAGGATGTTCGTTTCGTCGATCTTGCCCTCCCTCCGATTAAATCGAGTCGCGAATTGTCTCGACTCGCATTGTTGAAATCGAGTCGACGGTAAAACGAGTTTTTCTACGAGGTTGAGGGACGAGGGGGCGCGTCGGTAAAGAGGAATTTTCGGTGTTTTTTTTTGTGATATCTCACGGCGACGCAAATGTGGGTGGAAGATTTGATCGGGCGCGTTTCGTCGCGTGATCGCGAGTTTATCGAGGGAAACTCGAAACGACCCGTTTGGGATTCGATCGTGTCGATCTTCCTCGAGGTCTGTGAAGAAAAAAAAATTCGAGGAGATGTATTCGGGGAATAACAGGTGTAAATTACTTTCCTTCGAAGGAAATCTGTCGTACGCCTGGCTCGTTATTAATTCCTCCGGTTTCCCCTGCGTTTTTTATTATTATTCCAATGGCCTTCGAAGGGAAGGAAGGGATGAATCGAAAAGCGATGAAAACATTCCCCGAGCGATGGTCCTCCGTGAAGCGGGGTCAAGCGTAGAAAATTGGACGCTCGTCGAACGTGATCCGTGGTCGGCTCGTGTCTCGAGTCACCGGTCACGTCCAGCCCCCTCCGTCCCCTGCGGCGATTCTGCGGCAACGGCAGCTGCAACTGCACCGACAACCCACACTCTCCTCGCACCTACACCGCATGCTTTATCTCCAATCTTTTGAACTAGCTCCAACAACCTCTCTCCTCGATGGCTCGAGAGAGAAAAGAGAAGAAAATCCCCGCTCGTATCAGCGGATTTATGCTCGATGGTGCCGCGTCGCGAACCGCCTCGATAATCTGAAAAAAACTTCGCTTCGATCCCGTGCTTAACGCGCCCCCTCCCTCGCCCGAGGACTCTCTTCGATCGTTTATAGTAATTTGTCGTCGTTTCGTGGAAAGATCGTTTTCTTCGCCAGTCTTTGTCTTGCGCCACGTTCAAAAATTTGTCTAATTTTTTTGTTCGCGGATCGACATCGAGATCAAAGTTATCGAGAAAGGAACGAAGTTGAAGCGTAGCTTTAGTGAATTGTTTCGTTTCTTCGTTTCATTGAAAATATAATCGAAACGATAGATATAGCAGCACCTCGAAAAAGTTCGTTTAATTTATGGGGAAAGCGTTAAAAATGAAAATGATACAGAGTCGATGGATATCGGTGAATAAGTATGAATTAACGCGTTAAAATATCAAGTAATTTAACGAAGTGACAGTAAAAAAAAAAAAAAATTGTGTACACGTTAATTAATGCGCGTTCAACGTTGAAATCGGAATTACCACGGTAGTGTCGTTAATACGATGCAATAATCTCTTTTAATCCCTTATTTTTATCCTTCTTTCTCTCTCACGCCTCTCTCGCCCTTCCTTCCCACACTTTTCCGTTAATTATTTCTTCGACTTTCATTCGCGCCTCGTCAAAGGGGAAGACGAAGCGAATTTCGCACGAAACATTCTCGAATCAACGATTCGATCAACGTTTGGCTTTTAAAACATCGTTTAAATTACTCGCTCGATGAAATTGAACTCGTTTTCATTACCGTGAAACATTTTAAAGTGGATTTTTAATTAAATTGTTGTACACTGATGAAGATATATATATATATATATATATCATCATTGGAACGTATAATTATTTGTAACTAACTTATCTGAAATTAAAATTATTTTACGCCCGAGTGGAACACGTTCGAATTAATTTACGAGAGAATTCATTTTATAACCTTTGAAACACTTCAAACGTCGTTTCTTGTCCCGAACGACAAATGATCCGTATACGAAGCCACAATTTTTCAAATTATTTAAGATTATTTAAGAAACAAGCGTGTTTAAGAATACCGTCCTCTTTTGTCCTCCACCGACAAAATAAACGCGCGGTGAAAGAGCAGGGACGACACAAAAGAGGCGCGCTCGAAGGAAGCCAAACGCGTGCTCAAAGGACTCTAACGACTCGTTACGTTCAACTCGAGACGGGACAGTGGGGGGGCTAAAATTGGCAACTTGACGAAATTCAAGGGAGGCGGCGGGTATAATATAAAAAATTAATCCCTCTTTTTTATTCGTTCCAGCCATCCCAGGGATGCGTTATGGGGCGCAGTTTATCGTTACAACCTTCTCTATTTATATTCGCGTAACTCGGGGACAAATTGTCTTCCTTTTTTCCTTCTTCTTTTCTGTTTCAAACTCGCTCGATCCCCCTCCCCCTGCGAATCAGTCGCGTATTCGAAGGAGCCAGCTCAGCTCGAATAGATGTATTACGCTGCGCTGGCTTGGAACGGTTGCAGAAGCAACTCTCTTCTTCGAGGCTCGATCGAAGAGAACGATGAGACGTGTACCGGCGAAATTGCACGCTCGGTCGTCCATCGCGATCATCCGGTATCTTGACGGAGGATTGCGTCTCTCGAGGGCAGAGTTGGCTCTTGGAAAAATCGGGAGCAGCTCGCATTCAATTACAGAGACGTGGCTTCGCAGAAATTTAATCAATCATCTCGCGACGCATTAAAATAGCTCGGGGAGGTGGGGGAGGGCGTCGTTTCGATCCGCGCCATTTTCCTCCTCCCGGATATAACGTTCGGCCGGTGGCTACGTGGAATTTCTACGGCTCGTTACTGCCGTTATCGCCCGGCCAAATACGCGCAATTCGCATCGTTTCGGCATTTTATTTCCTCTTCCCGGTCTTGGAACAGCCACGGTGACAGCCAGAAAATATTTATTATTTAATCCAATTGATGAATGGCGGAGACGGTTTTCGAATTTAACGAGTTTTTAGAGAAATTTTTTTAGGGATGTTTGTTAAAAGAATACGTTTCTTATACGTTCTTACAATTCGATATTCTCTTCGTGAACGCGGTCGTAAAAATCGCGTGCTCTCTATCATTTACGTAGCTCTTGTGGGAGGAATCGTCGCGAGTGCTCCTCGCTTTTATCGACGTAATAGCTTCATTTCGTTTTATAAGTAAAATCCGGATAAAATTGCGAAAGCCTGCGCGAAGCTTAAAATTTGCAAAATAATCGACTCGTAACAACGTTTTGCACGTATCGTGCGAATATGATGGAAAATTCTTTTTATACTATTTTCTTCCCTCCCCAATAAAATTTACTCGCGAAACAAAAGGGAATATGGATATGATACGTGTAGCATAATATCGATGCAAATTTCAAGTTGACCGAATGGCAAACGATTCGATAACAAAGCAGGTAAATCGAGATCGAAGCTTGAACGTTTAACGTTTCAATCATTCGATCATCGTCCTTTGTGTTGGTTCCCCTAATATAATTTTATTAACCGTCATATAGAAGCTAGCAAACGATGTGCTAGCTCGCTTCCCTCTTATCGTTCGTGCACGAGGGACAAGCATGACTAACGAAGAAAATAATGAAATTTTAACTCGAGTTCTCGATTGTTCTCGATGAAAATGGGAATTCGAAAAATTTCACGCGTCCAGGCGATACGAATCGAATAAGAAAATCGAATTCGCGCGCGCGAGGAAAACGGTTGGCAAACAACTTTTTACGCCACTTTCAACCTATCTTGATCGCGCTCGAAGGGAAATCTCCTCTCCTAGCTCTCCTAATTTATTCCCTTTGACAAATTGTTTCTTCTTAGCCGAGAACGAGCATCCTGTGGGAAAGGTTGAGGCAGAAATTGCCGGAGGCCGCGAGACCGAACCGGTCGTATTAGGTTCCAGCCTCCTCTTCTGACGGATAACGTCGCGAGTTTATTTCACTGTCAACCCCTCCCTCCACCGTGCTATATATAATTCACCCTCCCCCCGTAAATTTTATTACGATTCTGAGACGCGGTTTTCTTACTTACTTATTCGGGGATGAATTTATTCTTCGAGGTTTGGGGTTTGTTGAAGCCGTTGGCACGCGATAAACGTCAAGCAACGCTTAAAATTGAGAAATGAAAAACGTCGAGGGACGTTTCCCTGCGTGTTTAATTAATAATCCAACTCGAAACGAAGAAAAACGCGATTGGAGAAGATTTGCACGCTTTGAACGATGTCGCGATTAATTAACATGTTATCTCGATTAATTAACATTTTCGCGCGAATTTACCCCGTTTAATTCCCGATTAAACTCCGCCGTTTATTTATGGATGATATCCATATATCGTCCCTGCGTTTCCTAGCGACATCCAAGAATTTATTCGATCGTGATAACACAAGGGGAGGGGAAAGAAACGTGCATCGCCGAAACGAGCGGGAGAAAAATTATTACTACAGATTGGTCCAGTGACAGACTTCATTAAACCGAGCGTCATTGTTATTTGACGGTAGCCTAACGTCCCGTGCATGCATGCAAATGTTTTATCAGCGACTTAAGTCTCTCTTACTGTCGCGTTTAACCTAATTACATACTTTCCTAACGATCCTCTCCTTGGTGGAGCGACGATCCGTTTAATCGCTCGAAAAAATTCCACGACTCGTCTCTGAGCTAGGCTAATTTTGTTGCCTGGTATTCGTAGGAAAATTTCATTTCTTGTAAATCTTCAGGGAGAAATGAAAAAGAAGAATGGCAAGGTAAAACTTTCTTGAACTCGACAGGGTTTAAAGTTTATTAAGATTAAGATTCAAGAGGATGGCACGTTCCAGCAATGGACAGATCTTGGTATTCCGCGTAGCTTTCC